TTTTCTTTTTCTTTTTTTTTTTTTTGGGGGGGGGGGGGGTGTTGGATGGGATGGAAACAAAGGATTATTTATCCATCACAGCATCATTCCTGACACATGATGTATAGTTCATAAACAAAGATTTGAACTGGTTCCACACCAGTCATCTATCATATGATCAGCTATCACTGCTGCTAGCAAAGCTTATTTCTTAAGGCAAAACATTATATCAGATCTTAATTATAAAAAACCTTTAACTGAAAAATGCTTGAACGTACACACTTACTTGGTGTGTGAACTTGCGACCAGGACTTCCAAAAATACGTGCTAAACCAAAATCTGCAAGCTTGAGCTGCCCATTAGATCCTATCAACAAGTTATTTGGCTTCATATCCCTGCACGTAACAAAAACCATACATTTGATACCAATTCTGGCAGCAATTAACATCACAAACTAGCTTCTCAGCGACAATGCAATACCTATGCAAAACCCATTTCTTATGGCAAACAGCTAGTCCTTTCAACGTCATCTGAAAGTATGATTTTATATCCCCTGGCGAAAGAAATATATTGGGATCACGAATCACCGCTTCAAGATCAGTCTCCATGAACTCAAACACAAGATGTAAGTTCCCTTTGTGAGGGAAGGCATGGATCAACTCGATAATATTCGGGTCTTTAAGCTCTTTAAGAAGTTTAATCTCTCTAAGTGCTGTAAAATTTACACCTTCCTTTTGTCTTCCGAGCCGAATTTTCTTGATTGCAACAGTCTTCCCAGTCTGCAACATGCCCAACACTATCATTTAAAAATACAAAAACAACCTTATGGAACCTAAGCCCCCATTTTTTATTTATGTCAGACAATTACCCTATACATACCAATTTAAAATCTGATCAAATTAAGTAAAACTAAATTAGTATTTTTACTAACTAACATAACTCCCTGAAAACCAAAATCAAAAGCAGCTTTCTTTCTTTCTTTTCTTTTTTCCCCTTTAATTTCTCTGTAAGCAAACAAAACAAACCCTAAAAAGTTGAAAATTTCTTCAGTTTTTATACATTTGTCATAAATCAAACAAAACAGAACCTAAAGATTCAAAATTCCCAGTTCTAACGGACAAAATCCAGGTAAGATTAATTACCTTAGTATCAATGGCTTTGTAGACAACACCATAAGTACCTTCACCAAGAATCTCTCGCTTTAGATATCTATCCGCTACTTTCTTCTCCACATCATTCTCTGACATTCTCGATTTATTTTATCCGTCACAAGAAGAGAGGCCTCTCCTTTTCTTTTTAGTACACCACTAAAGGCTACAGCGCGTAAATTACTCGACCGGCAGTGCCTGAAAAAAAAGAGCAAGGTGTGAGAGAGGGACAGAGTCAAGGCAACGTATATAAGGTAATTTACAAATTGATACATACAGTTTGATGCTAGTGACAATGTGGTATCTGTAGCTTCGATTGCTTTTAATTTTACTCAATAATTTCATTTATTTTGCTTTCCAAAGAAATTATAGTATTCTTTTTTCTTAATATACAAGGTATCTTCAATCCCATTACGCGCAACCTCTCAACTCCAAATAAAATTTGTAACAGAACTTACATCTTGCAATCTCTAGCTGTAAGTATAGCTTTGGTCAAGTGTCAAAAAACTACTATGTTACAAATAAATATTCAAGCACAGTTATTTTGCTCTGAAAGCCCGAGCTACAATGACTGCCAGCAAAAGTCTGACCACCAAAACACCATTAAAGCAGCCATTTGCAATTCAACTTAATCAAAAAAAGTCACAGTTCAGTTTTCACAGACACCGATGGAAGTGTCATTTTTATATTTATCTATGGCCGGAGCAGATCTAAAATGGGGAAAATCGTGATTTGCTGTGGTGATTCACACAGATAGGTTGATGGTAACGGATCATCACTGGCGATAGCTCAACTCCCTCTTCTTCTCTTTTATTTTCAGGCTTTCAGCTGTGCTGATCGGAAATGAAAATCACTAGTAAGATTTTATTTCTTTATTTTTAATCAATTATTTTAGTGTTATTTTAATTGTAAAAACCAAAATGATATTTTATGATACAAATTTTTTTAAAAAATCTTATCAAGTTAATATAAAAAATAAAAATAAAAAAATTATATTTTTTAAATAATAAAAAAAATTAATCTTATATAGATTATATCACTTTATATATAATTTACGAGAATCATCTCCATCCACCATGAACAACCAATCTAACCTAATAACCAAATAAGCTATAATACATTGACCAATCTAACCTAATAACCAATAAACTTTATATCACGTGTGTATTCTTTATCCGTTGAGAATGTTTTTTGTTTGGTGTTGTTAAGATAAATCTTCTTTTCATTTTTTTTTAATTCAAGAATATATAACCTAAAAAATATCTAAAAAACATTATCCAAAGAATTACAGATAAAAAATATTATTCTTAAATAAGACCATATCTATTAACATTCAAAGATAATATCATATATATTACTATTTATAAATAATAAATCGATGAGAACCAAAAATAGATTGGTCAAGATCGGTTGGGCCTCACAAAAAAATAAAAATAAAAATAAAGGTTGAGATGAATCTCGGTTCACGTTTAACATCTTTTTATTATTATTATTATTATTATTAAAAGATTGCGTATGTTATTCCCTTATCAACTCTTACCTTCAGCACGAACACCTTGAACGTGGATCGGCTAGTGATATTTTTATTAATGGTGTAACAAATAAACGACAGCACTGACCTCCACGTGGATAAACTCACACAAAGTTTCACTATTCCTTCGCAGCATCGTGTTGATATTTCATGGCATCCCACCTGTCTACAAGTTAGTAGCTGCTAGCGCAATCAAACATTTTCTTTTTTTGAATTAAAAAAAAAACTATTTTTTTAAAAATATATTTTATGAGCTAAATGAATAAATAAAATTCTGATTATTTTAAATTTTTATAAAAAATACACGTTTTGATTTTAATTTAAAACTTACTATGTAAATTTTAATTTTTTTACCATCACAATACATCTATTAGAGACTAGCATAATCAAACATGCTAAGAGAGAATAGTTAAAATTGCATTAAAAAATCATGTATTGTATTAAATAAAGGAATAAATTTTCCATTTTTATAAATAAACTACCAGGTAAGGTGAAAACATTGCGCGCACGTGTACCATGCACACTCTCATAATTGATGGTGCTTTTTTTCTCTTCAATTTAATTCTCTTCTAATTTATTGGTGAATGTAGGATTAAAAGTTAGGGGATCGGAGCAAGAAAGATGAAGAAACTAGATGGGTTTTTTAAAATTAGCGTGAAAACTTAACTTTTATCTCTGTACTTTCTAATTGATAGTTTTGTAATTCTTTTTAAAATTTAATTTTGATAAGATATTTCATTATTATTATTTTAATTTTTAATTTTAAAAAAAAAGGAGAGAGAGTTGTCGATTTAGTTGGTAAAAAAATAAAACCTCAATTCACTTGTTTCACTTGTTATAAATAATTTTTATTCTATAAAGAGAATTTCAATAAATTATTTTTTTATAGTGATAATAAATTTAAACTCAAGAAGTTCATTGGTCAAGATCTGTTGGGCCTCACAAAAAAATAAAAATAAAGGTTGGGATGAAGCTCGGTTCACGTTTAACATCTTTTTATTATTTTTTTTAGATTAACGTGGGTGTCCGGACCAGCTTGCGTGCACCACGACTAATCCCACGAGCCCTGAAGTTAACGACCATGTAAGCCTCCAGTGGCCATCATATAAACAACCAAGGACTCGAACCTGAGACCACAAAGGGAGCAAACCTCTTGATCTCAACATCTTTTTATTATTATTATTAAAAGATTGCGTATGTTCATATTTCATGGCATCCCACCCGTCTATTTTTATTAATGGTGTAACAAATAAACGACAGCACCGACCTCCACGTGGATAAACCCACACAAAGTTCCGCTATTCCTTCTTTCATGGCGTCCCACCTGTCTACAAGTTGGTAGTTGCTAGCGTAATCAAACATACTAAGAGAGAATTGTTAAAATTGCATTAATAAAATCATGTATTATATTAAATAAGGGAATAAATTTTCCATTTTTATAAATAAACTACAAGGTAAGGTGAAAACATTGCGCACACGTGTACCATGCACCCTCACATAATTCATGGTGCTTTTTGTCTCTTCAATTTAATTCTCTTCTAATTTATTGATGAATGTAGGATTAAAAATTAGGGGATCGGAGTAAGAAAGATGAAGAAACTAGATGAGTTTTTTAAAATTAGCGTGAAAACTTAACTTTTATCTTTGTACTTTCTAATTGATAGTTTTATAATTCTTTTTAGATTTTAATTTTTTTAAATTTAATTTTAATAAGATATTTCATTATTATTATTTTAATTTTTAATTTAAAAAAAGGAGGAAGAGTTGTCGATTTAGTTGGTAAAAAATTAAAACCTCAATTCACTTGTTTCACTTGTTATAAATAATTTTTATTCTATAAAGAGAATTTGTAGTGATAATAAATTTAAACTCAAGAAGTTTTTTGGGTTTGAATTAATTTTAGATTTTTTAAATCAATTTTAAAATTATTTCATTCTATAATTTGATGTATTAAAGTCTCTATGGTATTTTCTAGTTATTGTTAAGCCTCTTAATTTTTTTTAAAAAAAATAGATAATGTTTCATTTGTTCTTTATTTTAAAAAAAAACTTCAATTTTCAATTTATTTTGACTCAAAATAAATTATAAATTGATTAAATATACTGTCATCTTAATATTATTTTTAAATATCTTTTAATATTTCACTATCTCAATATTCAATATATAATAAATTTTGAATTTATGATTGAATTTTAAAAAAATAAATTAATAATTTTTAGATAATTTTTATTGCATTTAAAATAAAATTTAATTTAACCCGCAGCACTATATAAAATAGTATCCTATTTATGAACTAAGGAATGAAAAATATAATTTCTGAAATTTCCATTAGTGGATTCCTTCTCTATAACAGTAAAAAAAAAAAATCAATGCTTTCACCATAAACACCATATACTTTTCCTAAATGGTTTTTCACTCTACGTGGAATGATGAAGTCAGTCAAATTTATCGACAACCTTCTACCACTAAAGCCGTTCGCTGCTGATAATAAAAGTTGCCAATGAGTTAATTGACACTAGTTCACTGCAAACTAGGAGAGCTAGGACGTAAAGTTGCCCTCTTTGGCAAAACAAAAGATAGATGGGCTAATTCAGCACTCCTGAGACCCTGAAAAGATTAAAGCAATGCCAATGTGCATCCACTGTAGATCCTGATCAGTCTGCAAGTGAGAGCAAGTGAGAGGGTCAGCTACAAGAGAAGGAAAAATTAATGGATGCACCGAAAGACAGTGAAAAGATTGGGAAGTGTGACTCACCTAATTCACATCAATGAGCTAGAACTTCTCTTAATTAAAATTAGCAGGAGAAGAACTATCAGATGATGTAGATATAGGTATGGTAGGTATGGTGGAACTGGCCTAGTCCTGTTGTTGTATTAACCTTCTATGTTAAAAGCGTATTCCAGGCGTTTTTCGACAGACTTCATGTCTTCTAAAGTTTCAAGCTTCTTGGATTTCGGAGGAGAAAGGAAAAGCTGCTTCTTGTTTAATAGATCCACATCATCATCATCATCATCTTTGTCAGATGAGCACGAACCTAGCGACCGGAGGCCATAATCACCTTTGTCAGATGAGCCAGCTTGTCTCAAAGTAATAGAACTTCTCTTCCTTATAATCGATGGCATGCTTTTGAAACTCCGTGCTTTGCTTCTCAATCTGGATTCTGGACTGCTACAGTTAGGAGACACTCTATTGCGGCTTATAGGAGTGGAGAAGGAACCTGGACCTCCTACTGTGCGGATGTAGCAATCTGAACTGGGAAAACTACCGGTTTCCAGGAAGACATTCAAATCCTTTTGCTGGAGTGACTCGAAGCACAAGCCACGATGTAATTTATCCGTAGTGTTAGGCCCTCCTGCCCCTCTATTTTTCTCATGTTCATCTGTCATTATAAGAGAATAATGATGATGAGTTCAGTTAATTGATTTAGATTTTGTGACTGTAGAACACCTCACACTACATACATTACGCCGTAGCTGAGGCACATTCGCCTCGAGATACTCCTCGAGGTAATGTTCATAGTAACTCTAGATTACATGCTAAAAAATGAGAGGGGGAAGAAACTTTACCCCATGTTTCATCATAACCATGTGCACTGAATGGAGTACTCAAAGAGAGATCCAAAGACGGAGAAAGTGCTTCAGAATGCAATGAATTGATAGTATTTGTAGTCTCATGAGTCCTTTCCTGTGAATATGGAGACCTCATGAGATTACCGAAAGAAATATCACAGATTTTCCCAGGCTGGTTAACAGAGGAATGGTCTGTTGACTCAGATGTGTATGCACTACTGGCACTTTCTCTGCAATCTTGGCTGGACAGACCACATGTATCAGTAGCTTTAGTACCTATAGTTCTACCTGTGGACTTTGCTGAATCGTTCCACTCTTTACAAATTTCATTATCTGACACCGTCAGTTGGTCCTCCCTTCTACCAACATTTCCAAGAACCAAATCCAGTGAACAAGGTTCCACGTTTGAGCACAAGTTCACACCCCGATCATTTCTTTGCTTGCCCACCTCAAGCTTCTTGCCGTCTGCTTTTGTCTTGTAACTATAGAAGTCCAAACCAAGAGCTGGATATGATTCTATTCTCTTCCTCACTGAGCAGTTCCAATGATTTTTTATTGAATTTTCAGTCCTGGTATTTTCCAATAGACAAAAAACAAAGTGATTTTCCACATGCATAAACATAAAGTCATCTGTTTTTGAGTTTTGGCACCAACTTTTCTTCTACAAAACCTCTAGAGATACCTTCCATGCAGAAGCTTTGCGATCTCAGCCCACTTATTCCCATATGCTTCATGGGCTTTGATGAGAACTGCCTCCTCCTCTTTCGTCCATGGAGTTCTATTAATATCTGGATTTAAATGGTTGTGCCACCTGAAAAAAATTGTGTGATGACTTGGTTCTCAAATAATATCATTCCCAAATAAATAAGCAGCACTTGCATAAACCAAAATCCACGTATGCGGAGTGAAATGTGTTCAAGTACCTTTCTCGGCATTGCTTGCCTATGCGGCCTGGCAAGTGTTTTGCTATTTGAGACCATTTTTTGTTTCCATGTATTTCAACAAGCTCTCGAATGAGATCATCTTCCTGTTGATCCAATTAAAGTAAATATGAGTCGTTGTCACAGATTATACAGAAACAAAACAATCTCCTTCGTTGATATGAAGGATCAATACAAAAACAGCCAAGTCTCCATCCCAGACTGGTTGGTGTCGGCTACATGAAGGACCAAAAAAATCACCTCTTTTTTCCAGGGTCCTTTAACAAGTTTAGGGTCAAGAACCTTCTGCCATCGATGCAGACACTGAACATCTGTTCTATCAGGAACACATTCCGCTGCAAGAGATATCAACTTCATCGGAATAATACACTGGCAATGTCAGCTAGAAAACAGAACTGAAATGATCTCGAACTCAGCTGGAAGAGAGATTGAAGACCAGCATTGGCAATCTCAACCAGAAAACAGAAACTTGTGAGCTAATGAAGATCACAACCTTCATTGGCTCTTGCAAAGACAAAAGGCATTAATTCAAGCATAAAGAAAAAGCAGGCCAGTTCACCATTAATCAGATACGGGAAAGTAAAAACTGAGTATAAGATACTGAAGGAGCATACCGATCTTCTTCCAATTTTTGCTATTGTACCTTTTGACTGCATCAGCTAATATTTTGTCCTAAGAAAACAAGTGCAAGGTCATTTGTCCATGTGAAAATTGAATTCTAAATACCTTACTAACAGCACAAGCACAACTCCTAGGTCTTTACGTTAAAGTTCCTTTTTTCTTTCCTCGTTCCGAGTACAGTTTCATCCCAAAACAACAAACAGCCATTCACATGTACAAATCGACAACTATTTGCAATTTGTAGACCAGAAGCATCCACAATTCAATGCCATAAATTGAGTTATCTAAGTACTATGGAATATTTTCCAGGAAAAAAAAGAAGGCACAGAAGCTATTTTGAAATTGAACACAAAAACCTCTAACACTAACCTCCTCCCCTGTCCATTTTCTTGATCGTCTTGTAGGACCAGTCATCCTCCTAAAACACAAGAAAAACTAACATCATTCATATATACATTTCATTGAGAGAGAGAGAGAGAGAGAGAGAGCTGGTATCTTCACAGCTGAAATTCATAAATCTGATTTCTTTTATCTGCTAGAGGAATTAAATTCAAACTACAAAAAGATCAAAGAGATACTGATATTTACAACATAAATAAACAAAAAAGAGATGGATAATCGAAGATTGACAAACCCTTGTTGGTTTGGAATCGCATTGCGAATGCCACCATGGGGCACCAAACCCGTCCAGTAAACTAAACCCTTTGTCTTTGAATTAGAATTGATCTCCTCAACTTCTTCAACCATGATCTCTCTCACACTCTAAATTAACAAAAACAAAGTAAAAGCAAGCCACCCTTTAGGGAAAAAAAAAAATCTTTGATCTTTAACAATGTGTTGATGAAAAGAAAAAAAAAACTCTCTAAATTAAATTCTTAAAACCCCTAAGAAATTTAAGACTTTTCCTTCAAAGATTGATCAACTTCAGCACTGCTACATAACTGTAATCCAGTTTTTTTATTAAAAAAAACAGAGATTATTAGGAAGCACATTAAACGGTAACATTAAAACTTAGGAGGGTTTTAAGGAAACTATAAAGAATAAACAGAAGTGATCTTGTTTGTAAAAAAGAAAAACGCCTCCTTGTATTTTTTTATATAAACGCGTAACGGCTAAAAAAGGATAAGCAGGAAAAAAAAATCTTTTGATAAGGGTGAGAGAAAAATTAAACCAAATAGGCAATAGAGTGATCAGGTTGTTCTAGAGAGATAAAGAGAGAGGAGGGATTGATCATTGATGTCAAAGATAAAATTTTGCAAAAAGAGAAATTCGCGGGAAAAAGGAGAGTACTTGTAGTGTTAAGTGTTCATAACATGACACGAGCAATAGGCAGAGAAAGAAGAAGAGATCGGATGCAGAACATACGGTTTGTTTGTTTCAAACTTCAAAACGTTAGTTCATGTTTACGAGGACTCAGTCAAGTATAATCATTATTAAAAAATATTTATAAAAAATAAATGTTAAATAAAAATTTTGACCGCCAAGCACCTCTATGTCTATATTAGATTAGGATGTTATAGAGTCTGGTTAAACATGAATTACTTCTAAATGCGGTCCCTAGATAAATTTTTTATCAGTTGGATCTCTGAAGTGTCTATTTATTTTTCAATTGGTTCCTTGATCTGAAATATTTCTTTTTTAATTTAAAAAAGGGCATTGTTTTATTAGATAATATATGGAAACTGAGACAAAAAAAAGTATTAACAAATGTGGAAAAGGGGACTGAATTGAAGAATGTTTAATACTTTAGAGACTTGATGTAGAATAGTTTTCGTTTGGGACCTGGTTGAGAATTGGTAGGTGATTTGATTAGAAGAATAGCTAAGTGTGTGTGATTATAAAATTATGATACGTGAATGACTGTTTAAGTTTAAGTAGTTGTGATTTGATAAAAGTTATTTATGTAAAAGGTATTTTTAGTTAAGTTTGATTTAATATTTATGTATATTTAGTTAAAATTATAATCATGGTAAAAAATACTTTTCAAATTGAGATTATGAAAAATAATTTAATGTACGTTGTAAAAAATACTTTTTAAATTGAGATTATAAAATAATTTTTAAAAATATATATCTATATTGATGATTTTTAATTTTAATATTGTATATTTAACTACTAATATTACATTATAAAATAAATAATATTTTACATGAAATATTTTTTATTATTCTATTAAATTATCTACAACTCCATCATATATGAAATACTTCCGACAATGATTACAATTTCTTTAATTTCTCAAGCACACAATAATATCAGGTTAAATTTTATCAGGAATAAAATTAAGATTTCAATCAAATTCTACAAATATTACGTCATTAAATGATTTTCATCTAATTTATATAATATCATTGAATAATATTAAACTCTAATTTTTTTAATAAAATACAATTAAAAATAAAAAAAATATTTTTTTATTTTACTGAAATAAACTTAATTTAATGTATTTAATTTTGAATCAAATCAATCAGAACAGTAAAGAATGATATACCCTCCACTCCACAAGTTAAAAGATAACATTGAGTCCTTTCTGTGTGATACGTCTGTTATCACCGCGGCGTCTTATCTGTTCACTGGGCTTGCAGGATATTCAGTGGGTCGTGGAATTAGTCGTGGTACGCGCAAGCTGACCCGAACACCCACGTTAATTAAAAAAAAAAAATAATAACATTGAGCTACTTTTAACTACCCTAAGTTTTAAATGCTATTAATGGTGGGGTCTCGCACAACATTTTACATGTTAGCAAACATTAATGTTTTGCATTTTATTGCAACAACAAACAAATACAACTATATAAACAAACAGATTTTTTTAACAGTTCTATATTTTAAATGCTATTAATAATAAGATTTATATACACTAATAGTTTTTTTACCGGTCATTAAGTTTTTATGGTTTGCTGTGACAGCAAGTACAACAATGAAAATAAACAAAATCTAATAGTTCAAGTCTATATGTGATGTAGATGTCAGTGTGAAAAGGATGCATTTTTGAAATTAAAAGGAACTTAGTTTTACTTAGTGGTGTGTGTTTTTAATTGTGCTGGGGTGTGTTTTATTAATGAATTTTATTTAAAAAAATATTAAATTAATATAGGAATAACTAAGTGTGTGTGATAATAAAATTATGATATGTTAATGCGTGCTTAAAAGTTATTTTATAAAAATATTTTTAGTTAAGTTTGATTTAATATTTATATATTTGGTTAAAATTGTAGTTAAAATTAAGATTAAAAAAAAATAATTTAATATGCATGGTAAAAAATACTTTTCAAATTGAGATTATAAAATAATTTTTAAAAATATATATTTATATTGATGGTTTTTAATTTAAATATTGTATATTTAACTACTGTTATTACATTACGAAATAAATAATATTTTACATAAAATATTTTTTATTGTTTCATTAAACCATTTACAACTCCATCATATATGAAATATTTCCAACAAATATTACAGTTTTTTAAATTTTTTAAGTGCACAATAATATCAGCTTTAAATATTATTAGGAATAAAATTGAGATTGTAATCAAATTTTGTAAATATTACATCATTAAACAATTTTTATTTAATTTATATAGTATCATTAAATAATATTAAATTTTATTTTTTAATAAAATACAATCAAAAATAAAAAATATTTTTTTATTTTATTAAAATAAACCTAATTCAATACATTTAATCTTAAATCAAACTGATGTAGTCAGAACAGTAAAAAATGATATACTCTTTACTTCACAAGTTAAAAGACAGCATTGAGCTACTTTTAGCAACCATAAGTTTTAAACGATGTTAATGGTGGGTCTTGCACATTAATAAACATTTTACATGTAACCGAATATTAAGTTTTTGTATTTTATTGCAGCAACAAACATAACCACATAAACAAATAGATTTTTTTAATAATTTTTTTATTTATTTACGTGGGGTGTCCGGATCAGCGTATACGCACCACGACTAATCCCCACGGCCCACTGAACATCCTATAAGCCCAATAAATAGGTAAAACACTACAGAGATGACAAACATGCGCGGTAAGACTCAAACTCAGGTGTAGAAGAAGGGGACAAACTCCTTCCATCACTAAGCTAAAACCTCGTGTGCAATAATATAGGGTTGATGCACAATAATATATATTTTACATATTACCGAACATTAAGTTTTCATGGTTTGTTGTGACAGCAAGCACAACAATAAAAATAAACAGAATTTAATAATTTAATAAAAATAACACAACAAGTCTATATGCGATGTAGATATCAGTGTGAAAAGGATGCATTCTTGAAATTAAAAGGAACTTAGTTTTACTTAGTGGTGTGTGTTTTTAATTGTGCTGGGGTGTGTTTTAATATTGAATTTTATTTTAAAAAATATTAAATTAATATATTTTTATTTATTTTAATATGCTGGTATTAGAAATAAAAAAATATTTTCATGTGTTTTCACGTTGCGTTACAATAATAAAATGCATATAGAGAGTAAGCCTTTTCAAAAATATATTTCTAGTCTAAAAATTTTCCTTTTTTTATTTTCCATATTTATCCTTTTATTTCAATTTCAGACTGGGAGGAGTAATTTGTGCTCTTGTGAATCTTCTCTGCTTAGAGGGTTTTTATTTATTTATTTGTACTCGAAATTGCAATAGCCGTTACAATTTACAAGCGTCAATATTGGACTGTAAATGACAGGAGACCAGTTGGCGAGGTGGACTTTTCTCTCGGAATTTTTCTGATGAGAGTGTTGGGCTTAGGCCTAGTTCCCTTACTTGGGCTAAAAGCCTTATTTATCATTGCCTTTCAAAAGCCTGATTAATTACTGCAACCAGCGTAAACGGGGGAGGAGAGGAGGACCATCAGTATTAACTCTCACCTACTGTGAAAATGAATTCACAGTAGACGAGGCCCAAGGGATTATGCAGTATGGAATTGGGCCGGACAAGATGACCGGCCCAAGCTACAGTGGTTTACCAGAATCTTTTTTAACTTCAAAAAAATTCAGTTAGCGAGGATTTTTTTTTTTTTGGTGTCATTAAACTCCGGCTACTGAGCAACCTTATAATTTCTTAACTCAATTTCTTATCTAAATCAGTTTCAAATCAAATCACGGAAGTTACTTCTACATAAACTAACCTATTTGACTGATTCGGATGTAACATGGAAAACTAAACAAAAAAATTATTTGATTTTTTATAAAAAATAAAATGATATTTTTTAAAAAATATTAAAATGATAGCATGTTAGGTCAATCCGGTTTTACGATTTAATTTATTAAATTTACAATTTAAATTATGGACTTAACAAGATTTACTACCTTTGTTTTTTTATTTAATTGTACAATAACAAAAAAAAATACTTATATAATTGAACACAATATCAAAATATTTGTTTAAAATCATAATAATTTTATACAAAACAAGCCTAACTAAATCACAACATTGATTCAAAATTAACCAAGTATTAGAGTGATTGAGTTAAAAAAAAATTAAAAAATTAATGTTAAATAATAATTTTTTTAAAAAAAATAACCTAGGAACACGATGAGAACACGGCCTAGATAGCTTTGCATGCCCAACATTGAAATGGAAAAAAGTGTTAATGAAAACCCTATTTTCAAAATGAGAAAATATGATATAGCTTGAATTCTAGCATATTAAACATAAAAATATGAAATTGAGTGGAAAAAAAAATAACAGTGTAGTTAAAGTTGCTTTTTAAATAATTTTTTATGTTACAATATATATTAATAATTTTTTTATATTTTAAAAATTAGTTTTTACATCAATATATCAAAATGATTTGAATATACTAAAAATATATTAATTTAAAATATTTTAAAAAAATTAATTTTTTAAAAATATTTTTAAAACACAAAAATAAATAATAACACATGAACCCCAAAAAAAAAATGATTACAGGCTAATAGCTGCAGCATCTTAACACGCCATGGGGAAATGAGATCAGCATAACTCGGAGGCAAGAGATAATGCACCTGCCTCAGTTTCAAATTTTCAATTGATATGTCTTGCGGGTCACGTCAACACAATCAGAAAATATCCACCAAAAAATACACCTCGAGGACAAAAGACAGCACAGACAGATGAGCAGATGATTCGATTCAAATTACAAATATCGAGGATTCAGTTGCCTGTTTTGCAAACACAAAGGGCTAAATAAATATCACAAGGATCTCCTTAGCCTTTAAATAATTAATTCGGCATCAATAACTGAAATTTCCAAATCGATTAATTCAATCTCAAATCACCATCCCTGCAGTTAAAACACAACAAATATATTTAAAAATAATATTTTTTATTATTTAAAGTACATTCTTAAATAATAGCGGCAAAATATTTTTTATTTTAAAATATATTAAAATAATATTTTTTTATTTTTTAAAATACATTTTTAATATTAACATGTTAAAACACAACAAAAACATCTTAATATGAATCAAGGAAAAAATATTAATTTATAGTAAAAAAAAAAATGAAATGAAATGAGAAAAATAAAAAATATTCACTTTTAAAACATGAAAGCAAGCAGGTTTTAAATAAAGGCAGCACTTTAAAACACTCAAATTTGGCAATATTGTGATGAACAGACTGGCAGTCATAGCACATATCGCCCATCGCCCATTCAAGACTTCATGAGAACAATTGCAACTGGGAATGAGAATGCATGTTTACAGTTCAAAAGATGTTACAGACTATAATAAATCATCCAGGTCATCAAATCAAACGCTAGGATGCATTTCATGAGGTGTTAACAGGATCTTTTGATCCTTGGGTGGCAGCGGGAATAGCCAGCCCAAGCTCCTTACATAGCTCTTCGTCTGGTTGCAGACTCCCTGGAATTGCACCGAAAGCTCTTCTTGATGTTTCAGAACCAAGAGCCACATAGTGCAGATATGCTGATACATCCTCCATTCGTGTATTTAAAGATATGGAAGCAAAGTTCTTTAAAAGACTTTTTTCTGGTTTCCTTGCAAATACCTGGTCCAGATCAGCAACCTTCAGAAACCGTTCTGTTGCAGCCTCCCATGACAGTTCATGCCTCTCTGCACCAGTCAGCTCAGCAGGTTCTTCAGTTAAAGCCCTGCTTGTGGCCTCGACAAATCCTTTGCTGTTATCATAAGTCCAGCAGTTTACAAACTGCTTGAAGAATTCATTCGATGGGTGATTAGCACATACAACAATCTTTCCCATTGCCAATGCTTCTGCTGTCGTCGTGCAAACGACATCTGTGGTGCTTGGATTCAGGAACACTTTATAACTAGTGGAACACCAAGAAAGAGGATATTGATAAAAGTTCCCCGTAAGAAGAAAAGACAATATAAGAGGTGGAATAATTCCGGATTGGATTACAGTTGCAATTTGCAGATAATAACCACATTTGTTCAGCCATTATTTGCTGCCAACTGGGTGAATGTTTTATTTTTCAATACGATAGGAAATGACTTATCAAACTTATAAATTAGTTGCAGTAGCACATACAGCAAGAATCTTACTCGTGGAATACAGGATCTGCATGATCACGCCCAGGATATACTCTGACTACCAGATCCAATTTTTTTGCAGCTGCCTGGACTTGGTCGGAGTCTTCTCCACTGCCATATAAATCCACCTCAAGCCCAGTTAGCTCTTTTTGATTATCTCGAAGAAGTTTAAGAAGCTCCTTGTAGCCTTTGCTCCACACCATTTTTCCAATGTAGTAAGCACCTTTAGTGAAGGCCTGATTCCCATTCCCACTTTGTTGTAGCTCTATCTTTTTCTTGCCAATCTCAAGGAACTTAGGATTCACTCCATGAACATTGCAGATTATGGAATTAGGATAATCCTGGGTAGCAGCAGACAATCTAATTACCTGTAAGCACATCACAAGTGTACCCTGGTCAGCAACCAATTATATTAAGATTGTACCAACAAAGATATGGAATCCACACCAAAAAACAACTCTCTTTCAAGAGATGTTTCTTCAGCATGTAGAGCAATGATGAATGAACACAGGGCCAACAGGACATTGCTTGATCCCCAAAGCAATTTCATTCATTATGGTGCCACTTTATTTAAAATATGTTTGAAAAAATGATTAAAGATACAAGGGTTTGCTGCGAACTTTCTTTCCTTTCTTCCTTTTTTGTTGCATTCCATGGATACTGATAGTTGAATGTCATTAGCCACTTTTCCTCATTCACATCAGGCCAAAATAGATGTTTGTTGTAGTACAATTCAAACAAGCACATGGCAATCTGATTGTAAATCAGGACACAGCAATCAGAAATTAACAAAGACTAGGATTACTTGAGTAACTGCGAAATAATTGATTTGCTGCTCCAACAAACATAGAAGAATATAACTTGACAGAAGGTTAGCTATCAATCATAAATCAGGCTTTAAAAGTAAATATTCCTTGTACTTTGATTCAGAGTTTTGAGATCACTCGTGTATTTCCAGCGATCGAGTTTCAATGAGGGATGATGGTACTGGTTGGAAGCCATACCAAATCCACTAGAAAACCACTCAAAGCACATCTTTTACACGAAATGATGCCAAAAAAATTCATAATGCAAGAAAGTATGAGCATAGAAATCTTAAAAAGAATTCTCAATTCAAGTATTAACAAGTTATTTTAACAGAAAGGACAACATAGAACCATTCAAACATGAAGAAGCATACCTTGTGGCAGTAGATATCAACAACCCAACTATTAATATATTTAACAACCAATGCTTTAACCCGTCCATTCTTCTCTCTCTTGATATATTCCAGATAATTGGTGTGTATAATTCCTATGACAAGGCGGAATTTAGTTTTCCATCTCTTCCCATGATGAAACCACGTGAGATGCTCAGGTTCCTCAAGGACCGCAACATCAGCATCTTCATCCGGTATGACTTCAGAGATATCTCCTACAGAAAGAATGCTTCTTTTATCTACAGCAAACTGCAAGACAAACAAAAAGCATCAAACTTTACGCCCATCTCCAACTAATAAACACATCATGTGTGATGAATTGATTGATGATTACCTTGGCGGGGTAGAATTGTATGCTAAAAGTAGGTGAGAATGAAATCCTCTCCTGAAGCCAATGACGGACATACACTTGTTGCTCAGAAGGTGAAGTGAAGGTGATATTATCGGGGTAGACTAATTTCTGATGCTGCAAGGACAACCACGGAATCACCAAAGTGACCTTTCTACTCCCATCTTTCGCAAGAAACGCAGCACGAAACAGAGGATTTACGGCAGTTCCAGTCATCCATGGAAGACTGGCCGTTGTAAAAATTGCAATATGCTGCTTCTTGTTATCCATTTATTAATAACAGCTCTCAACTTGGATAAATTGATTTCTTTTCTCAAACAAACAATAAATAACAAGAATAATTAAGGGAAAGACATAAAATCAACGGAATTAATAATCAAGAAAGACAGCGAAGTTTATCGTAAGAACAACCAGATGCAGAAAACGAAGATCTAACAAGAATAACCCATTACCTCTGGGATATTCTTCGGACAGCTAAACGGTAAATTAGAAACGACGAAGGTGTGAGAAGATTCGTGTTTGGCTGGCTTCGAGATAAGCTTTTAGGTCCCTCTCCTCCCTGTCTCCTCCGGTCCATTATTTTTTGTCTTTTTTTTCTTTTTCTTTTTTCCCCATGAAGCAGATCCAACTTGGTCCCTGTATTTCTCCTTTGATTATTGTGGTTTCTGTTTTTTATTGGTCCCTTTACTCCAGAACATTTCTTGATGTTATCCCCGATCCAATCTCCATCCAATTCAACATTTAATTATAGAGATGTGATCAGGCATTGGTAGATTCATGTTCACCTTTTTTACAAGTGGTTAGAAATTAACAGTAAACGTAAAATTGGTTGGACGGAGAGATCACGTTCACTAATTTTCTAGATTAGAGGGACCAACTAGGTTAAGAAAAGGAGTATAGGGGTCTTCATGAGTAAAATTTTTAGTATAGGGACCAAATAAATATGATCAATCCACGTCGCTGAACACCCATGTTTAAGGTTCTTGTTAATTGCTTGAAGCATTGATTCACAAAAACTAAAAACGCTAGAGGCCGCCACGGTTGATGTTATAATAATGGAAATACAGGATTGAAATTTAAAATTCAGAGAAAATACATTGCTCATTCGACACTCATGATATATATATATTTTTTAATTTAAATGTTTATTTTATTTATTTTTAATTTTCAAATTAATTTTTTTAAAAAAAAATATGAAATAAAAATAAAATGGTTAATTGCCATGATTCCGATAATAAAAATAATTAAATCTTATATGAACAAGTTCTATTTGAAGAAAGAGTCGAATTCTATAGTGTTTCTAGATTCAATTAATTTTTATATTTTTAAGTGATTTTTAATGGTTTTTTATAGTAATTAGTGATATGGGAAGGCTATTATGATGCTTGTCGTGTGTTTTTAAATGAAAATATATTGAATTCAACCCTAAAATCTACTTCATGATTTTTCAACCACTGACCGGATTATGAATTGGTCAGTAACATGCAAGGCGTTGTTTACCTCATTGAGCAACACAACATGTAGTTTGTTTCTTTTTTTAAAAAGAAAAAAATAAAAGGTGAAAGACATGTCACTTATATCTTATAAGAGGTTGAATTAAGCCAAAGCACCTACTTTTTTTTCCTGTTTTTTTAAAGGGGCTGAGTGCTGACCCTCTTAGCCACTAAGGTTCGTGTGATTAGCCTACTCTGTTTTTAATGATTTTATTTTTATTTTTTAATATTATATTAATTTTAAATTAATTTTTATTTTTTTATTATCTAGTTAAAGTGAAAAAAATATTAATGAACCCATGAATATTTATAATACAAGTTATAAATTTAATAAATTAACAAAATTAATCAAATATATTACAATATAAAGAAAGATATCAATTTTTTTAAAATCAAACTTTTTATCCCTTTTTCATGTTGTTTTTGGAAATTTATATGTTTATTTTTTATATATATATTTTTATTTTTTATTAAATTAATTGAATAATATCAAGTTAATTTTTATTTTATTTTATTTAAACTCCGGATTTGATAAGAAATTAAGTGAGAAGTTTTGAAATTGTTTTAGCTAAATCAGATTTAATTACAACATCAAAGAATTTTCCAAAGCTTGAATATTTTTTTATATTTAAAAACTTTATACATCAAGTAAACTCACTAGTTTAGTTTCGATTAATCTGAAAAAGATAACAGCTTCAATTAATTTTTAAATTCCTGATCTTAACTATGTGTTGAGATTCAATAAAAAATCTCACCCATTCATGAATAGTTACTAATCTAAGCATTTAATAACAAATATGTAGACTTTCAAAAGAAACACAAGATTAAATCTCTCAAAATTTAACTCTAGTCTTTTCATCTAAATTAGTCAATTCCGAAGTAAGTGATTAAAAAATCTGTGAAGGAACAGAAAAGCATGGACTGGTAGATTTGCCTATCTATAAACCCTTCCCAATATTCAAATGGCAAAACCCTGACAGCAGACCTCAGATTTTAGCACTTGGGCTCTCAAGGTTTGCAATAATTACCAGGTAAAGCAAAAAATCACTATCTTTCCACTCTCATAGACTTACTTAAGCCTTTATTTTCTACCATTCAGTTGATCATAAAAGCTCAAAGGGCACCAATTTAGCTACTTGCTTAAAAAACGAGAGTGATTTCTGATTGTGAACAATATTGCAATAAAAAAGAATTGATTTTACATTTTAGGTTTGTTCCTTCTAGCATTCACAACAGTTGATTAGCTTTAATTTTTGTTATGTGATATTCTGGGTTCAATCAAATGCTGTTATTGAATTAATGTTGCAGATAGAGGTTTGATGTTGATGTTTTGTATGTTCAGAGAGCTTGAAGAGTGCTGATGGGACATGCTGATGGTCTATCAGAACCCGGGTCATCAAGCACTCACCTAATTGCCTATCCTGAATCGGTGTTAGATGTTGAGGACGAAGAAGAACAGATACTGTATGCAGCTTCCTTTGAAGAACTTGCGAGAAATCATGTTAAATATGACACCATTATATGGGTTTCTATATCTTTGCTGCTGGTTTTAGCTTGGGGGATTGGGATTATTTTGTTGCTATGTTTGCCCATAAGACGATGCCTGCTTCAAAAGGATATTTCCTCGCGCAAACTATACGTTACAGCTAATGAAATAGTTTACAAGGTAATCATGTGTGTGTAGTGAATACTTTTCTCTGGCCAATTACAAGAGAGAACTGGCAGCGTAGATCCAATTCTTATCCTGTCATCATTATTTTTCTTGTTTGAAGTTTTCAAGGCCTTCGATTCTCTTTTGGCGTGTTACAACAATTGAGAAGCGCACTCCACTTTCCTCAGTGATTGATATCATCATTGAGCAAGGTATTGATGCAATACCAGTTGATTCTAGTTGTGATTCATTTGCGTTGCTACTTTTTTGTTCACTGTTCCATTTGCTAGATTTATGTGTACGATAGTCTAGGTTAGATGTAAGTATGTCTTTTTCTCTAAACATCTGTTTCCCAAGCATATGGCCTAAAAAGAAGAAATGGCTATGCGGTTTTTTTCCAGCCAGGCTACGTGATTGGTTTTACTGCTGTTCAGACAGCTACTGTAGTATTGGTTACTGTCAAGCTTTCTTGCAAAAAAATTTTGCTTGCTACAAGGGAACCTTTGAGGAAAAGCGGGGGAACAATAGGCTGCTAGCTAATCGCCGTAAATTTGCATATTTTTGTCTTTTTGGATGATGTCATGAATTTTATATGCTTCTTCTCAAGCGAAAGATGAATGTTTTAATCAATACCCTGTGTGCAAAACAAGCCTTCTTGAATGAATGCTTCAAAACGACTGGTGATATTAATATGTTCTGATTTTCATAGGTTGCTTAGAGTCTGTTTATGGACTCCATACATTTAGAGTTGAAAGCATTGCTCATGGAAAAACCGCACCTGTTGATGAATTACGGGTTCAAGGTGTTGCTGATCCTGGAGTTTTGAGAAAGGTTTTACAAACTTGATTGTTTACTTTATTTTCTTATTTCAATGTGAATGTTGTTGTTTTTCAAACAAGATGAGCTGGATAATAGTTGGTTGTAAACAATGCATTTCTTGCAGGTTATAATAACTGAAGCTTCAAAGAATGCACAGGATTTTGGGAAAGGTTGCAGACCTACTCTTACTGGTGAAGAGGAGAGGCTGTCTAGAGGGGGATCATTGAGTGAGGGACCAGTTATCTTTAAATCACCATCCAAAAGCTGGAAGGTAATTTAAACTGCAAGCTTTTTCTATGTATTCTCTGGAATTTGTTTCCACCTCGTACTCACTTCAAGTTGAGATGTGTATCCTTTGAAATATTCGTACTCTAATAACTTCAATCTCACTTTAGTAACAAATTGAGGCTTTTATGTCTTGTTCAACTTGAATTATTCAATTTGTAACAGCCTGAATCGCTATGGATTAAGTTTTTATATTGGCGAATGAACCTTGGATGCTATGCTTCTTACACGCTTTGAGATGTGAGTCAATTTGGTGCTGTGCCAGTTCTGTACTCCATTCAAAGTTTCAAACTGTGTACTAAGCTTAAACTGGTTCTGCTTGCAAGACATTGAGGTGTTGTGACTTCTACTTCTCTTACAACTGTGGCGCCCAATTTATTAGGATATATAGTCTGAACTCTCAGAAGAATGGATGGTTGGTCCAGATGCGTTACTACATTCATCAAATTGATTTGCTTAAGACTAAGAGATGCCGCCTGTCCTTTTCAGATTCCAGACTCACCACGCTACACTTCTCTGGAGCATAGAGGTTTAATACAAGGGGAAGTGCTGCTAAATAAACTAGAAGAAGTCAGTAAATCATTAAAGGTATGGACCCTGTACTTTCTTTACAACACATACATTCAAATAACCTAGCACACGCATATCTGAAGGCGACAATGGTTGCTTCTGCCTGTGTTCATTTATTTCTGTAAAAGTGTCCCTGATTTGCCTATTTTTATTTTTATCATGCCAGAAAATTGAGTCGCATATTAAGGAGTCCCAGGCTTCCCCGGAAAGACGTTGACGTGGAGCAAGGCCCTTTTGGATTGGATCATCAAATCAGTCACTTACATTAGAGAAACTTCATAAACCCCCCGCCCCTTACAGAAAGAAATGGTCGTTGCTTGCGGAGCAACAGCCTTGGCCGGATCTGAGCTATCTACTCGGCAATTCATCCGGTGACTTCAGGGGATCGCCAAAGAAGCCCCGCCAACCATTGTATGTATAATTCAGATGAGTTATTGTTTCAATGCTCTTCGAACTTAAGCCAGTTACTGGCTTTTGCTTCCATTGCGGGAAGCTTTCATGTGAACACAAGTATTGTTTGAACAATTGGAATGTTCACTGTTTACAATGATTCTAATTTGTTGCGTGAAAACTACCAGGCTACCAGCACTCGTTTCAACTTTTATGTTTGGAACTCTTTTTTATAGAACTTCAAACAAATAAAATAAATTGAATTTTATCGCTTTTAAAAATAAAAATTAAAAATTTAACTTGCTTGTTAATTAAATTTAAATTAAACAATTTATCCATAACTCGTGAATTTGATGGTGGAGCCGAATCCAGACTGACGATTTTCCAACGGTG